CTGCCCTGCCCTGCCCTGCGGAGGGGGTCCGGGCAACCCCTCCCCACGGCACCGCCTCTGCCTTCAGGTGCGATTTTGACCAGTCACTTAAAAAAAAAAAAACAACAAACAAAAAAACAAACCAAAAAGGAAATTTATTACAAATACTTGTCAGCGACCAGCCTTTCTTTTGGTTTGGTTTGTTTAATTCTCATTGCACCTATCATTCGACTCGGGCGGGGGGAGGCACATAGGGCGTCTGGAAAATCTTTCGGAACCCAAAAGCCAGCAGAAAGGAGAACTTCAGAAGTTTTCATTAACAATAGGGAAATACTCAAATCTTACCCTGTTTATTCTTCTGTGTGGCAGACAGGGAGTCCTCCTCTATTTCCCTGTGCAGCAAAAATAAAGTGGGAAGAAAAAGAGCTTGCATGAAAGTGTTACAGAAGTAACATCGCAGTTGTTAAGAACATAAAACCAGCCTTGTGTGTGTGACAGTTGGTGATGTTGGAAGGGTGAATGGCCTGTTCGTCCCAGTCCTCGCCCCACTCCTCAACAAGGAGGTTGAAGGGAGGTAGGAATGGACGGACCTTCAAACCAGCACCCCAGAAATGGGGGCTGCTCTGCCACCAGGAGTGCCACAGGGCTGGCACCAAGACACTGACCCCAGCCACATCGTTTGTGAGCACCGGCTCCTCTGCACAGAGCCCCATGGACAGCACGCAGACTAAAACAGGAATTAGAGTCAGGTTTGGGGTGTTCTTAAAACAGGACTTGGGCCATTAACCCGATTTTAGCTTCTGTGCAGGGCTCCCTCTGACTTTGGGTCACACTGCTTCTGCCATGACCACCACCACCACCAATAATAGTACCACCTAGATCACTATGGCGCTTTTCATTAGCAGATCTCAAAGAGGCTTTAAAAAGACCATCAATAGCAACCCTTCTGTTCTACACATGGGGAAACTGAAGCACAGGATGTGTCCAAGGGCACAAGATCAGAGCTCAGTTAGCCAAGCCCCACTCCAGGCCATTCCTCTTCCAGAAGGGAGAGCTTCTGCAGTTGTAAATTAAACTTTTAGGGCCTGTGTTCTTGTGGCAGAAATCCCTTGAATCCAGCTCTGGAGACAAGCTTCTGAAACTAGGATTTCCAAACCCTTTCTATTCTGTTAGTTCCCACTGGATTTCTCCCTTGGACATGTCTGTTCTTCCTCTTCCTGTGGCCATACTTCTGAAAGTATATTTTGTTATATCCCAAAAGGAAAAATGGAAATTAGAGGCATTCATATCAACAGTTAGTCAAAATCATTCAGAGGAAAGGCAACAAAGATAAAATATCAAATCTCTACTTCATTTTTTAAAAGCCTTTAAAAAACAAGGACTTGTTTTCCTTCATTGCCTCACACAGAAGTTCAGATGACTGTAGGCATTGCATTTTAGGAAGCTGAAGAGGGTTTTTAATCTGCTTCCACTGCCGGTTCAAGGTCTTGGTCTTCAAAGCTCTGAATGTATCTGCGCCCAGCTACAAAAAGTGCCTGCACCTGCATCTACAAATCACACAACATATTCATGTGTCTGGAGAACAAGTCTGATGAGGAGCGGCTGAGGGAACTGGGGTTGTTTAGCCTGGAGAAAAGGAGGCTCAGGGGAGACCTCATCGCTCTCTACAACTACCTGAAAGGAGGTTGTAGCGAGGTGGGTGTTGGTCTCTTCTCCCAAGTAACAAGCGATAGGACGAGAGGAAACGGCCTCAAGTTGCGCCAGGGGAGGTTTAGATTGGACGTGAG